ATCGGGTTCAATCTGGAGGCTTGTGATTGGCAGCACTAAACATCGCAGTGTTCTCCTCTGCAGGCTGAGGTTTTCGAATCAGCACTACAACTTCCGATGCTTTCTTTTCCAAATATCAAGTCCATCATCGGATGTTAGCTGTCTCCCTCACCTAGATCAGGCAACACTTGGACGGCTCCAACTTACAGTAGCAACGGGGAAGTCTCATCCGACGGAAGTCTTTGCCGCATTCTCCCTGCGCTTGATTCTCCACGTGCTGGTCTAGACGGCCATAAGCAAGGGGACTCTGATAACGCGTCACTCGAAATCTGATACTGAGCTTGAGCTTAAGATTGAGAGCTTTTGGCAGCGGCACTCAGCGGCCGGAGAATCCAGTACAACTGTCCTTGGACTGCTGGCTTGACTTGATTGAGTAGTCAAAACGTTCAACTATTGATTACCTGCTGTGAGATGCAGCTCAGCAGCAGTGACTAGTCGAACAGCAAACTCTCGATCCAGCCACCCCATGGCACTGTCAACACATCAACTTGCCCCCCAAACTCCCCCAAAAATGAAGAGTGGGCGAGCAACAAGGGCATGCAGCGTTGCGGTTGTGGGAGCTTTCGCGGCCTCTTCGTTGTACATCCGGTGGCTCATGTTTCTCTTTCAGCGGAACTAGTCTTGAGACCTGCATAACGAGGATGGCGCAGGCAAGAAAAAGCAATATTATTGACTGCACTACCACAACCTTAGCGGCTGCAAAGGTCAGGCCTCCGACTTTGCGCAGTCCGCAGTGAAAGACTGAGGCATTTCTTTCCACTTCCATGCGAACGATATGTTTGATGCTGACTAGAAGCGCATCAGTTACGTTGAGCCGATGTCATCATATTGGAAGCTGTTCGGTTGACGGGAATGATGCTGCTGCACTTTTGCCTTCGTCGATCACACCCACCTTGGACAAGATTGTCAGATGAGAACCACACCACTGGGCTCGTCGAAGCTCGAGACACTACGTAATTAAGCTCATCGTCGATCACTTCGAGAGAGCACAATGGCTTCATGAGTGCGGTTCAAAAACCGCGGCCCGCTGGAACATTAATCCAGGCAGGACGACCCATTTGCGCTGGCGGCAGGCATTGACATCATGATGCCTCTCATCACGGGCTATTTTGTCAATTCGCTTGCGTGCAACTGATACTACTTTTCCGGCGTGGTGCGATTATGAGGCTTGAAGCCGATGATTGGGCCATCGAGAACTCGGCATTCGACCCGTCATGCGCAAGTAAGGTCACGAACGTCAATCGTTTACTCCGAATATCTGATATCAAGGCCTATCTGGCTTTCGGTTCTAGTTCTCCTCGCCCCGACTCTGCCATCCGAAGCGTTCGGGTCCTTGCGGGCGGCCGTAACCTCGACCCGTTGCACCGTGTTCACGACACAAGCGTTCCGTCTCACGAAGCTGCCCAATCTAATTTCAGGCAATCCTTCCATCCGATCTCCCTAGGCGTTACCGATGTAATTACACCTGGTAGCGTCGTATCTTATTGCAGATGCAGCCTCCCGAGCTGTACCATCGGCTGCTAAGCCAGCTGTGGAAGTCTTGGGTCAGAACGCCACTCACACCCTTACCAACCTCAGTCGAATCATCGCCGTTTTCAGCGGATCCCATTTTTCCGGCACATGCGTCGCGGTGCCTTCCGCAGGATTTCATGGGGACTCTGGGTGAGTCTCGTCAAACTCAGAAGCCACGCGTGGGCCTTGCATATTTGCGGTCGACAGCCTGCCTTGCCGTGGTCAACACACTTGGAGAGACATCAACGTACTTCTACTAAGCATTGATGAGGTATATTACGGAGAGAAAAAGCAACATATGAGCATGGCATCATTGGCCACACGTCAGAGCATTCGCGTTGATGGCGATGGTGATGACGAGGATGCCGCCGTTGGTGTTCCAGAAATGGAGAGCGACTGAAGCAAGGGGCAAGTCAAACATCAACGTGGGATCACAGAGTGAGATCGGCCCTGATGAGGTGCGTCAAGCCACCACGTACTGCAGCGGATGCTCGATGTGCAGCAACCGGAAGTCAATGGCGACGCCCAATGCCGCCTACTGCCATCTGGACGCTGCCAATACCTATATACACTTGCAGGCAGCCTTCTGTCAGAAGTACGCTGTACGGCCGGATCTTGATTTCGGAGTCCGGATTGCGGCGGCCGGATGAGTTTCTTCCATGGACTTGGGAGTAATACTAATCAAGAGGCCCGGCCACCCCGTATGACTTGGCTGCTGCTGGTCATTAACCTGACGGCCGTAACACCGAAAGCCACAGCCCTGCTCATCGTGTGGACTAAAGCCACCCTGTGGCTCATCTTTTATCCGTGGTCTAGAACGTCTAGTCTTTAAAGACGTTGACGGGAGAGCTCCCCAGGTGGTTGATGCCTCAGTGAGTTCAGACGTGGTACCAATGCAAGCGCAGGGCGACCAAGTTGCTCATGATTATGGACAAGGGTGTTGCGCACATGGCAAAGGAACACGCCTCTCGAGGATTCGACAAGCGAGGTCTCTCTTCATTTCCACGCGACCGTTTCACAAAACCCCATCTATTGGCGTTCGTGGGTTCCTCAGAGGAGTCAAGACATGCTGTAATCTGCCCGGCTATTTCGCCCTCACATAGTCTAGAATAACCAGAGACAGTAATCTGCAAAGTTGCAGAGGGATGAGGAGTGGAAATGAAGCGGGCGATTTTAGCCGTTAATAGGTCAATGCAGGGAGTTTCATTGCCAGGGGACGGATGTCCAGACCCTTCGGCGATGTCAGTGTTCGATGCACAACGGCTCAGTGCCATGTTGACAACGTTCGAAATCCGGAAATTTTCAATCGATTGCAAAGCTGAGCGTGTTTCTGGAGAATTTCCCCTTTCTTAGCCACAGGACTAAGCGACATCTCTAGGTGCACCTCACTACCAGAGGGCCATGATATCGGCTTCTTCGAACCAGGAAGCCGGATATCTGCACCTTTGGCTTGGAGACTCAGTTCGATATCAGCCACGGACGTGCTTCAGGAACATGGAGTCCTAGACATCCTCCCACAAAGTGGTGGAAAACTTGGATGGGACTGGCCTCTTCGTTCCGAGAGAGTCCTCGCTAATGAAGTTGCCTGACTTTCTCTCACTCCAGAAGGAGGCAAGGTTGTTGCAACACATCCCTGGGTCCCAAATTGAGGTGAGGCGCATTCCAGTGTTTGCGAACCATTGAGATTGTTGGAGGCACACAATTGCTCATTCGATGATTGTGCTCAAATACATCTTTTCGTTCACTGCTTCACCGTCTGTTGGGTGATTCCCCTTGCGAGAGCCTCAAAGCTGAAGAAGGCGGTCTTTGCTCAGTGCCTCAGATGGAGGCATTTTGACCATGTCGCTTCCAGCGTCGGCACAGGGCAAGCGACCACGGCGTTCTTGAGACTGTTGGATCACCCGTGTCAATATGTTGTCGTCTTCGCCGAGGAAAACACAGCGAGATGCTTTCTCTTCCTCGACGACGCGGGCAGAGATTGACAGGGACTGGGAAGTTTCTATGGCTGAAAAGTGCTGAAGTAGGAGAATCGTATGTACCGAGCAGAAGTTCAACTAGGATCCTTCGGATCGGACGTGGTTCTTTGGAATCAGTCCGGCCAGAAAGGGGTCGACTAAAAAAGTCGCCTGGTAGATTCCCGCAGATTCTTCGTATCGCGACTGGGACATTCTCTCAGAGAGAATGGTGACCTCCGCGATCGTATTTGCAAAGTATGGCTTGCTCACGTTAGAGCAGGCACATCTCAAGAGGGTGGTTCTGACTATCCTTTCAGCTGGGCAGCTTGCAGGGTGATATTGACGACAAGCGAGCAAAGTACGCCTTGCCGCTGGAATGCGCCACCGACTGTTGATGAAACAGCGCATGCAGGTCAAATAACGGCCGATGATGGCCGGTATGCAATCATGAGATTTTGACGTCGGGCTTTGGATGGCCACCTACCTAGCCGCCCGCTGGACCCCCCGGCCGGGTGTGGGTTTGTGGGTGTCCACATCGCCGGCCGCCTCCTGTTTGAAATTAACACCGCGCTCGGCGCCGCACCGCTCCCTGCCACGGGCAGCCAGTCTGCAGCCGCCGTTGCAGCATTCCTCTGCCTGCAGCCATCCGAACTCGAGAGAAGAAACTTGCCCGCTGGCATGCAGACCAATGTCAAGTTCAGCGCGTTGGAACTCTTATCACTCTCGTACCATCAATTGAGTTTGATTGCCAGCCCCTCTGGTTGCATGACAAAACGCGATGGGGCGCGCACTTCGGCCATGCCGCCGGACACATTGCGGGACGACGAGTCGTGGGATTTGTGGGGGACTTCCTTGCTTGGCCCGAGAAAAGCTCCAGCTAACGGATCCGATCACGCAACGTTTTAAGACTATGTCGGATATCTCGGGATGGATCACCCCTTGAACGGTGACGTGCGGGCTTTATGATTCGAGGGAAAGACGCTACCCTTCCCAGAGTTCCCGAAAAGACGGTCTGGACGCTTTTTCTTCGCCGCGCCGGAGTCCAGAGAGCTCGGGAACGCGATTGCCAAATCTGGAAATAATCTGAGAATAAGAATTTCGTCCCAACCTTTTGCTTTTGGTGGAGAGACGGCGCAGGGTCAGCAGGGCAGGCGACGTCACAAGCAGGAGATCCCTTGGTCGGCGCAAATTGGGACGAAAGCGCGAGCCTGCATCTCGTCCAAGAAGCCATGGCATGCCGGCCGCCGCAACGGGGCATCGCGCATCTCAACCGCCGACATCCCGGCCGTTGATAAGCTGACGGCGCGCTCAATCTCACTCAGCTCGGCCTGTCAACCGATTTTGGTCGATTTCAGCTCAGCCTGATTATTTTTCTTCTCTCCATCTTAACCAGAGACAAACTACAATCTTGCACAGATATCAAGACTGTGCATGTATGCAATCATGTCGGCCATCGTTCATCGCCCCTCACACTCAATGCGATGCCATCCCTTCATGACGCTCCCGCTTGAGCTGCGCCTGCTCATCTGGGAAAACTTCGGCTCCGAAACCCGTGTCTTCGAATACAAAGAGGACACCGGCCTCGTCCGCCCGTCCCGCGAATACCGCCACCCGCGCCGAGTCGGCCTGGCCGTCTGCTCCGAATCACGACGAGCGATCCAGGCTCTCCTCAAAACCTTTGAGCACCCCCACGACCTCGACAAACGCAGCCTGCTGCCGCCGCCGCTGCGCTACGCCCCGCACGACGACATCTTCTACCTCCCGCCGCTGGTCTACCGCAGCCGCATCCAGGCGTGGGACTCGCTCTGGACGACGAAGCCCGGGGTCCGCAACGTCGGCGTCCACTGGTCCGTGCTCTGCGACGAGCGGCGCATCGCGGAGGCGTTGAAGGCGCTGAGGAGGTGCTTTGTGGACCTGCGGCGAGTGGTGGTGTTTGTCGAGTTCAAGGCGCTGCCGGAGCCGGAGGAGGATGTCTGCGCCGGGGGCATCGTGAAGGTTATGGGGCCCGTGGAGGACGAGTACCGGCTGCCGTCGTTGTTCTCGGAGGTGCATGGGCTGATGGATGAGTTTTGGACGTGGGGGGAGATGAGGACGGCTGTTGAGAGGGTTAGGAAGGGCGTTGCGAGCGCTATTGAGGTTGAAGGGATGCTTTATTGTCGGGAGGTTGAGGACGGCCCAGAGTTTTGATCGTCTGAAGCATCGACGGAACGCGGTCATGACTTTCATGGAGAGCAAAGGTTGCGGTTGGTGCAGGACGAGCGTTGGGGAGCGAGGCAAGTGGTGGGGTTTGAAGTGACACTTGCGGAGTTGACTTCATGAACGATTATGATACCACGAGGCGCATTTCATTATTCAAGGATTTAATATTAATCTTCATTATGGCGTTACTTATGGAACTGACGGAAATCTACCTCTTTGACGACACAACCCCGTATGTCAAACATTACCATTTCCCAGGTCTTATGTCGCGGCTTCTTCATCTCAGTCCTCGAGAGCCGCTCACGTTCACATTGAAACGAGGCGTGGCATACTCCCAGACACGTCGGGTAGTCTTTGCGCCAACGCAGCTTCCCCGATTTCCAAACGACTTCCCGGCGTTGATGGTCTCTAAGCAGCAGGTATCCAGAAAAGACGTGAAAGAAAACCATCCTCACAGTCTCCTTCTCCGGAGGCCTTTCGTCTCGTACTGCTCCAGCGCTCAGGCCTAGCGATGGTATGTCTTCATTATTTCCGCCTGAATGCCACCGATCGAGCTCATGATGAGCTCTGCAGCATACCACTGCACGCTCTTGGAAGTGCCAATTTCCCAGCTGCTGCTCTTCAACCCTCTCATGCTGGGACAATGGATGTGATTACCGGCAATCCTGTACCCCAACTTTGCTTAGGGGAAACAGGGCTCCTGCCCTTGGCGGATTAGATCATGTCCAGGCTACATGGTCCGGCGTATTGAAGACTAATCAAGCTGGTCAGCATCATCTAGATGAACTCCAAGGAATGGTCGCAAAACTTACACCTTCCGTTCCGTTACTTCCGAAATTATCTTGATTACTTGTTGTCAACGGGCGCAAGTCGATCCCGCAACTGCGCCTACGCTGCTCTTTGTACGATCGCCTTTCAGAGACAGCACCCAGTCGATATCGAAGTTATTCGAGTATCCCATCAGAGGCTTTTCTCCGGACGTTGCTGCTGTTGAAGGCACGCTGAGCTCGGCATCCACTTGCACTTGCGATGGGTATTCTGCGGGCATGGTATTTGGTTCGGTTGTATGAGAAGCGCGTGTCATGCTCGGCGCTGCTGATCTAGGATCAGACATGATCGGCTTACTTCCACAGGAGAATGTTGGACTAAACGGCGATGGTCATCACGCGCCAGGTTGGACAGTGGACGAATATGACGGGACAAAGACCAAATACTCAACCCCAGGCAAGCATCCAAAGACTTCATTTATATCAAGCCCCAGTAGCCCAACCACCTCACGCGCGCCTCAGCCTCTCTCCCTCCTCGTGTGACAGCCACGGTATGCTAGAAGAGAAGCGAAAGAATACCGCCATATTCCTGAACCGTCAGACCGAAGGCAGCCGGCATAGAGAAAACAGAACCAGAACGAAGATCAGTGCGCGGTCCGACGTAAGGCTGATGATCGCACCGCGTCAGGCCGCCGCAGGGAAAGCTGGCCGCGCCAGCAAACACGGCGTTGTCTAAAGGTGAACACTCACGAGACACAACATGCAATACCTGCACGAAGCACCTTTCCCTCGGTCTGAGAGTTCTAATCCAGAGCCTCTGGCAGATTTGCTTTTTACTTTCGGCCTCACACGTGCGGATCAGCAGTTTTGAGTCCTCGCTTTCTAGAATGAGACCCAAAAGGTCCGGGCCGTCCAATTTGGCCGCAAACGGCCCGGACGTTTGTCCTCTTTCGCGGCGCCGAGCCAACCGGAGCCCACTCCTCGTTTACCCTTCCCCCGCAAAGATCGGCGTCCCGCACGCCGCAGCAATATGGGCCGATGGGGGAGAGGGCTAGGCTGCGGCTCCTCGGTAGGCACTCTTTGAGAAACTCTAATATCGACGACCTCATGTGGGTGAGATTCCTGCTTCGTCACTACGGCCGATTGTAGCCAGCCCTACAAGGCGCAGCGCCGCAGAGGCGCGCGGGGTGATGGGAAGTGTGATACGAACGCCGTCGTGCGACGCTGCGCGTCATCACATCCCGCAGATGGCTGCAGACGGAAGCATCACGAGCCGAGGACGCAGACGTTGGGTTTGGGCGGGTTAGCTCGTATCGATGCTCTGCGTGGGTAACGGGGGGCATGTCAAGCTGGAACGTTTCACGGCGTTCTTGTGGTGCGGGTGAGGCTCAAAAGGCGGAGATTACAACATGTTCATCAGGGAAATGTTGTCATAGAATTATTGGATGGGCATCCATTGCAGATGAGGAACAGAAGTCTCCTCTGGATGCTATTGTAAACGGTAAACCAAGCCCCCCCAGAACGCCGTCCGTTGATCCCACTTTCTACCACAACTCACAGGTAGGCTTCTGTACCGGGCAATTGAACGCCCTCCTGAACTCCCTCGAATTATCCAACGGCCCCTTGATGCGCGCGAACCCAGGCGAGTGCACGTCGTTGCTGAGCAGGTAGACGTCGTACGCCTTGGTCGCCGAGACGTCGCACCACGCCTGCGCCCACTTGAGGAAGAACAGCTGGTCGTGCGAGAAGCGCTCGAGGCCGGGCAGGTCAAAGTCCTGGACCTTGCCGTCGGCCTGGGCGCGCTTCCACGCGGCGTACGAGGTCGCGACGCCGCCCGCGTCGGCGATGTTCTCGCCGAGGGTGAAGTTGCCCTTGACGGGCACCTGGGTGCCGTTGGGCGCGGTGACGGTGAAGTTCTGGTATTGGTCGACGAAGCACTTTGTGCGCTCCTCGAAGGCCTTGATGCTGCTGTCATCCCACCAGTTCGTGAGGGAGCCGTTGGGGGCGTAGTTGTGGCCGCTGTTGTCGAAGCCGTGGGTCAGCTCGTGGCCGAGGACGGAGCCGAGGCCACCATAGTTGATATAGGAGGGGTACCCGACGGCGTAGAGGGGCTTCTGCTGGATGCCGGCGAGGATGACGATGTCGTTGTACGTAGGGAAGTAGTATGCGTTCGTCTGGGAGGGGGTGCTGAGCCAGAGGGCCTTGTCGCTGGGTTTGCCGAGGTAGGACCAGGTGCGTTTCGTGGAGAGGGCGGCGAGGGAGAGCGTGTTGTTGAAAAAGGAGGTGTTGATCGTCGCGCCCTTGAAGTGGTCTGAGAGACTCTTTGGGTTGACGGTCTCGGGGGAGGAGTCGGGGTAACCGATCTTCTTGGAGATGGCGTTGACCTTCTCCTCGGCTACTTTCTTGACGGCGGCAGTGAGCCAGTCTTTATCGCCGAGGCGGGCAATGAAGGTGCCCTGGATAGAGCCCATGAGAGAGGTGGTCAGCTCGCGCGCTTCTCTGGAGTAGGCCTTGTCAAGGAAGAAGCGGCTGAGGATCCAGCCGAGACCCGCGGGGAAGCTGGTCCATGTCGGGCCGGAGTCGACGTCAGAGACACACCGGTCCCATCGTGGTTGCTTTCCAACGGCGACGGGGTCGAGACCGCGGAGGACTGAGCGGAAGTCGCTGAGATTTTCCGTTGCTTCTGCCTCGACATAGCTAGAGAGCGTCGTGGTAGCCTTCCAGACGAAGAAGGTTTGTACTACCTCTGCGCTAGTGTTGGCGAGGAGCGAGGAGAGATTGCCGAAGTAGGCTGGCGAGAAGACGATATGCTCTGGGTTGTAGTCCTCAGGCGCAAGAGCCTTGATGATGGAGCCGTGATCAAGTTCAGGGGCCACCTTTACGGCATCTTCAAACTTCATCTTCTTGAGTGGTTTCTAGGTGCTTCATTAGAGCGGACTTTCCAGACATTTTGAGGTGCTGCTTACATCGTCGGCATCTTTGCTGTCATCAGTTTGCTGCACCTTTTTGAGGTCCTTCTCGAATTTAGTTACCGCCACCGCTAACCTTTGAGAGTCGGCTTGCGAGATGTTCGCGGGGTGAACTGCCTGGAGAACCGACGCCTGGATTTTGAGGTAGTTTGTAACTGTCTCGTTGTCCTCACGGCCGGTCAGTATCGACGTGCCGCCGGGGAGGAGGGAGATGATCGTCTTGTTCTATGAGGTGTTAGTCAAGCCGTGCCTCCAGGGAGATTCATCAGCAACATACGGGGTTCTGGTCATCCCAGTCCACGCCAAGCGTTTCAAACGTGTTGATTCCATACTCGGAGAATAACAGCAAAGCCTTGCCCATTTCAGGAGCATCATCTTTGCTAATCATCCGCTGGGGATCTTTACCACCGCTTGATACAGGGAAGGCCTTCACAATACGGTCGATGAAGCTTATCAACGGCGTCAGTCCCGCCGCCTCAACCTCGGTGGTGTTCAGGCAGGCATTGTACGCGTCGACAATGAGCTTGAAGTTGTCTTTATCCGTCTGAACCTGATCCTGGGGCAACGACGCCGTGATGAAGCCCGCGTTCGCTCCCGACTGGTACCCGCCCTCCAAAATGTTCTTCAAAACGATCGACACCTCATCGCCGACATCGCCCAATGTCGATGCCTTACCCGCGCCGGCCGCCGGAGCATGCCTGGACTTGTAGCCCCCGCATGCCACTGCCAAGAAAGTGTGTTAGCGAATCGAGAGTCATGCTGTCCCGTCGGCTTCGGCGCGAGCTTATTGGAGTGGGAGACTCAAGGCAGGGATTGGGAGCTTGGGGCGCGGGGAAGCTTGCGGCTCAAAGCTAATGCGGGCGGGGAAGAAACAAAAGGCAAAACTTGAGTCGAAGACGTACGTTTGTCAAAGTCTGTGCACGGATCGACTTCGGTATAGTTGACCGCGAGATTCTCAAGAATGTTTGAGGCGATCTCGAGACATACCGGGGTGGTGCAGTAGCTGCCGGTGGCCGAAGTGTTGAGGTCCGTAGGAGCCATTGAGCTTGACGTGACCTTGTCGGAATATCTATTGCTTGTTAGTAGTCGTAGACGAGAGAAAGGAAAGTTGAGAAGACGGAGGAGGTCTTACCGGGACGATCCTTAGGGTGGTAGTGAAATCAGAAGCCACGGATTGTCTCCCTTCAAGGTTCTGGCTCCAGAGATTGACTCAAAGACACGGCGGTCCGCTGGTTGACGGTCTCAAAAAGCTGTTCGTCCAGTGTTAGAAAACCGGGAGCTGGCATGGTCTTTATAGGTATCCACGAAGTCTGAAGGATTGGGCTCTTTCGGACAGCGTACGGAAGCCAGAAATGCAATATTGGCTAACACAGAGTGCCCACTCGGCAAATAAACTCACCCCATTCCCCCGATGCCCAAGTCAAGGCTGCTTCCCCGGCCAGCTTCCACGAACCTTGACCAATCCGAGTACATGAATCCATCGGAACTCTGTGTGATGACGAGATCAATCGGGTGTAATCCCAGAGTGCATGCGGCGCGGAAAACATTGTGGGGAAGCTGGGAAACAAAAGTGCCCGCTTGCCAAGTAAGGCAATTCTCAGTGACCCCAGTTCCGGATCCTCCGCCATGTTGGATGATTGGTCGGGTCTGGCGGGAGGTTGTCGATCCTCTCAACATGTTGCGCCCTAGGACAGGCACACGGTATGACCGATGTTATGGTCCAGGTCAAGCTTGCGACAGTGACAGTACGCGGTATGTTTGCCAAGGCGCTCTTGAGAACGTATGCATTATTGCGACTTTTAAGCTTGCTTAGTGGCAGGGGTCCAGCTCCAGCACTAATGGCGGAAAGCATATTTGTGTGTGAGAGAGACTGATTTTGGTGCAATTTTGCACGTGTATCTCAGGTACTTCCGCGCCTGTCAGCCGTTGCGGTTCTGCTGCAAAACCAGTGTAGTGGTGGCGTCGCCGGTCCTTGGTGTTGAGGTATGTTCTTGGGATGAGGCACCGCAGGTCGATCGCCCGGGTTGGGCATCCTGCGCGACCAGTTGTGTGCATGGAATTGGCCAATCTTTTCGTCTGGAAGCATGAGTCGGCTGGGGCGGTGGGAAGATTCAGTTACCTCATATATTGAGGAAGGTGGCACCGCCAAAAGTGCTGCATTTGGAGATCAGAGTTGTGCAGCCTGCGGGTATTCGTTCGCCCGTTATCCAAACTCAACATTGTTTACTTTTTCAAAGCCCTGTCTTGGCGATGGAATATCGTCTTTCGTCCTTCGCACGTTCATCCTGGTTTCTGGAAAACGGGGCATGGTACATAAGAGCTAAGAGTGCCTTGCGGGGCCCCTAAACCTTGGAATGAGTCGCTCAGCCGCTTTGTGCAGCATTCCAAGGACGAGATGGATTTCTAGAAGAGGCCATGCTGAGCTACGAAGGTGAGCTGAGGGGATGCTTTCGGCTAGCAAGTCAGGTCCTCGCGGTTGACAAGGAACGTGAGTCCATGCGATATTGTGAAGACAGTTTCACGAGAGAATCGAGCCTGTCTGTACCACTTCATCACGCGAATGGTGGCGCTATGGGCTGGGCGGTATGCGCAAGGTTTGGCTGGGAAACGTCTCTCGTGACTGAGTTGCCATAAGAAGGAGAATTATAGCGGTCTCAGGCTGACAACGAGGTGCTCGACGCAAATCGCCGTTGAAGTTAGTCAGTCTCGGCCGGCCTGTGGATGCGGCTTGGGCTTGCAATAAGTGATGCGATTGGGAGATGATGCTGGTAAGCAATGTAGCCCAAGAAAACAAGAGGATTTGCGGCGCGGGGTGTATTGCCCGACGGGACCGTGTGCTTGCGGAAAAAGCAAGTCGCGATATGAGCTGCTCGCCCGGTCATGAAGGACGTGTCGCTGAGTCGTTCATGTTGCTTCTGAGCGATAGTTGACTACTCCTGAATCCACAGAAGCGTTGCAAGTGTGAGTACGAGTGTCGTCCTGTCATGTCTTGCAGGGCACCGGAAAGCAAGAGAAAGTAGCTTTCAATTGGAGAGGTTTCACCGGCCAAACGCCTAAAAGCTTGCTGGCACAAGATGCTGACGGGCGTTGGGGCAGGCATTTGATCATCTGAGTGAGAACCGGAAAGGATTCAGCTTCGAGCGATGAACGGGAGGAAGGATGACAGTTGGACCGTGCATCCTGAGGACTGCACGGACCATCGGTATAAAAGTGGGAACGAGCCGACTCCACTAGCCCCGCGTAGCGTTTCCTCCGGCTCCGATCAAGCCACGTTTGCTCCTCACTTTCATGCGCCACATGACGTTGACGTCAGTCACGCCAGGCCCCTTGGAGGCGAAAGGTGCTGCAGATACTTGACCACCCAGCAGCCTACAGTCTGCAGACTTGACTTCCTCTGCCTCCTGTCAACCCTCAGCCATTTCTATATCGGAGCTGACCTGAGGTATCCTCCTACTTGACCGAAATTCAAGATGGCGAACACTGGCGCTCCCCCGAACTACTGTAAGTGACCCCTCCACCCCACCATAGCTCGCCACTAGGCCTAACGCTGCGGCCCAAGATGCGATCCTGGAGATCACCGAGGCAGCTACGACCCAGCAGGTTCGAGATGCATACAAGAAGTAAGTGCACGCTTATGTCCCATAGTTACAACTGAAGATGCTGACACATTTTACAGAGCCGCCCTGAAGACACACCCCGACAGGGTCCCCGCCGATTCCCCAGAGCGAGCGTCACGAACCCGCAAGTTTCAGCTTGTCAACGACGCATACTACACCCTTTCCGACACCACAAGGAGGCGCGAGTACGATGCTCAGCGCAAGATGTTCGGCGCGTCGGCCGGCTACACCGCCAACGACCCATTCGACGATCCCGAGGAGGAGATCCCCCCGCAAGCGGGTCCCAATACCAATAACCCCTACTCCTGGGCTTGGAACTTCTTCACCGGCCAGCAGGCAAAGACAGAGGAGCAGCGCGAGAGGGCAGACAACCAGCAATTCGGCGATGTGTTCGAGGAGATGCTGCGCGAGGAGGGCATGGCGGAGGAGGGTACCAACCGACCGACGAGCTCTTTCTGGGGCACCATCGGTGGCGTAAGCGGCGCTGCGCTGGGTTTCATCGTCGGGAACATGCCCGGCGCGTTGGCTGGAGGTGTTGCCGGGAACAGACTTGGGGCAGTTCGAGACGCCAAGGGCAAGAGCGTCTACGCGGTGTTCCAGGTTAGTGCGAATCTGGAGATATCTACCGGGTAGATCCAGTTAGACTCTCTCTTGTGCGCAGGATTATTGAGAACTTTGCTGACGACATACAGGATTTGCCGCAGTCAGATCGTGCTAGGTTGCTCACACAGTTGGCTGCCAAGGTCTTCAGCCATACTGTGGGGGTTTGAGTAATGTGTTACGAGTATCGGGTTGGGTTTTCTACGTCAATAGGTCAGCTTGGAGTTTGGGATTGGCACGAATTATTAGGTAGCTGAGCATCGATAGGCCACTGAGACATCGTTACATTGATATCAATAGATAGTTGTTTCCTGCATGAAGTTACCGGTGACAACTCGACTCAGCTAAGGGAGGAAAGGTTCACGGACTTTGCGAGGGCGGGTTGCATCTGTTTGTGTACAGACAATACCGTGGCATTTGAACAACATTACGGCGAGCTCATTCAATGACCGTGCCAATCGATTCCATTTAGTAACACCGACGAAAGTCCGTGCCGCCATTGTGGTATGAACACACATGCGTATTGAGTTTCTCATGGTGTCCTCGTTATTTGAGTTCAGATCTCCTAGTGACACCATCGTGGAGGCTCGGCAACGCAAAGAGCCATTGCTAAGAAATTATTCTCAATCCCTTGGAAACAAAGACACCAGGCGGGCCGCGACCATCTGAGTACATAAGCTGCGATATAGAAACAGGATCCAAGGTTGTGACAGCCGACTTTCCAACATCATTTCACCTGTCGTCATGATGCTCTACTCCGCCTTCGCTATTTTTCTTCTAGCTGCTGGAGCTGCAGGCAACTTTCTGAAAGAATGCGAATTCATCAGCTTCAGTCTCGGCGACAATGATAAGGACCCATTCCTGCATTACTCATGCCCCCTCAGTCAGGCGCCGTACCTCTGGTGCTCCAAGTTGAAGCTGAACGACTGCATCGTCAACAACTTTGGAAACCTGGAAGCTCGAGAAAAGTACAAAGCTGCGAGAAAATTATTACTGATTCCTTGAAAGACTGACTGAACACAGAGGAGGCTTCGGTGCGAGCTGTGATAAGTGTACTTACGACGAGAAACTCGGCAAGCTCGAGTGTTGGTGTCGCAACACGAATGGCGGGGTTCATTGGAATTCGATCAACCTCGGTGAGTAAACCACGATGACCTTCATGGAGTTGACCGAGTCTCTGACATGTTACAGCTGATTTCGTCTGGCTTTCTGGTTCCAAGCTGGGTTGCTTCGGGATGAAAACTGAGAGCAGTTGCAGCACCGGCCATGCGCGGATTAAGAGTGACGCTTGAGACGTCCTGCAAGACATCGGGGAGCACCTTGACAATCCTATTGACTCATATAGTAGTTTTTGGAAGCAATAAGTTTTCTGGAGTGTTTGTCAAATGAGGTCGCTGAGAGTGGACAATCCAAGGAGTGAAGTAGAGATCTGGAAGTAGTTGCTTCATCAGCCCAAGGCGCCGAATGCATCATCCACACGACCATCAATATAAGAGAGAAAGAAAAAACTTAAGAAATAAATGGCCTTGGAAGCCTCGGTGAATTACAGGTGCCCTGGATACGCTAGGGATTGTCGACGTGCAGCGAGATCCACTGGTGGAGTCACACTGCCAGCTAACGGTGCAGATCAATATGGGTCTCTTCCACTTGCGCTTTTTCCATCAATCATCGGTCAAGGTGCCAGAGTGGTTAATGGGCTGCCCTGCTATCAGGTCTTCTGACAGTTGTTCAGGCAGTGGCTTCGGTCGCGCAGGTTCGAATCCTGTCCTTGACGTTTGCTTTTTGCATTGCAAAACATTTCTCATTTTATGGTCATCATATCTTGTTTTTAAAATGAACGCTTGTTATCTCTGCAGTTTACAATGTAGTTAGTTATCTTGTGAATATATTTAATATTGTTTTCTAATATTAGCTGCACTCCTTGAGTCCTTCATGTGTAAATGAAGACCACCACTTGTAGGAAATACTTCTATTGATGCAAATGATGCAAGAAGTACTAGTCAGAAGAAAGGTGGCAGCTCCGACCGAGAGTTAACTCTTTTCCTGGTCGGCAAGGGGTTGGCGTAAGGGGGATTGACTCTTTTCTTAATCGGCAAAGGGTTGGCACTAGGATCGGCCATCGGGTTGATGATGGGAAATCCACTAGAGTTGTTTGAGCCTGCCGGAAGAGCCAGAGGTCTGCGTTGAGGTCTCAGTCTTCTTCGGGGGTTTGAACCCAACAATAAGTCGTTCTGCACCTCTCGTTTGACCTCATCCTGTTTTTCTTGAGGTTTCTCACTTGGCTGGTTGCCAGGCTGTCCGGCACTCTGTAAGGTCGATAGGTCCATGGGTTGATTCGTTATGGCGCTGAGCACTGCCACGAGCCAACGAGCAAGTAAAAGGACGACGACGTCTCGCACGCGCCATACGAGATTTTTGGCGACAAGCATCTCTTCGGGAACTTGCTGGTCATTGTCATCATTGACCAAAGTATGAGCGCTGCCAACAGAGTGTCTACTGCTGCACTGTTGCATGCTCTCCGAAATGGCTAGGGCTTCGCGAAGGTTCGGCTCCGTAAGAAGTCTGGCCAGATCAACAATATCCTCTCCCATTTGTGCTGTATGACTTAGCGAAGTCCGTTCATACTCCTCATCGGCGAACTCTGAGGTCGTAGATTGCTGTCCTGTCATCGATTGTGCAGGTTCCCGGGACTGTTGCGTGGCTAGTTGGATTGAGTTCCTTTGCTCCATGTCCGAATCCAAGCCGGAAATCAGTCCGTCAAGTTCTCCTCGGGCCATGGAAGATACAGACGACAAGTCCATTCTGACAATCATAGACTGGTCTTTGCCTCTTGATTTGGTACGAAAGCGCAACATTTTATATTTGGCCATTCGCATCCTGCTTTTAAGACAGCCTTCGATCTCTACCTGCATAATAACAGGTTTATTGCTGTGCTCAAATGCAAAGGCCGTGTTGAAGCAATGGGATTCCAAAGGCTGACAATTGGTTTCTTCGTAATCCTTTAACTCCCAGAGAAGAGACCTGAGCCCTTGCCCATTTTTGGCCGCCGTTCTGTTTCCCCTGAAAGTCCAGCTTTTCAACGTGCGTTCTCTGGAGACGCTTTTGCGAAGACCCACCCCTCCGACCTCGAAAAAGCTTCCTACTCCCAGAGTTGGCTGAAGGGATGTCTCGCTTGTCTCAAAACTGGAGCTTTCGGGACCTGTGAGGCGGCTTGGTCCAAATTCGGTGATTTGCACAGCGAGATCTGAATCAAGAGACGTTCTAATCGGGAAGCTCCAGTGCTTTTTACTGGCATCAGTGAAGGATTCTTCTCCGCTCAGTGTGATGAGGATATTGGCTTTGCTCAAGGTGTGTTGTGATGGCTGGATGATAGTAATATCGATGAAGATGATACCAGCAGGATGCCTCTTGGGTCCGACAACGCCCCATTGAGCTTCGCTCCAACGAAAATGACATTGGATTTCAACTGCTCCAATAATCTCAGAACTGACACAAAGATATGGTTCAAGTGAGGCATTTTGATTGAATCGTTCAAAATCCAGCCGACCATACCGGCGAACATCCAAACCTGGCTTAAATATCGGCTATGACACAATCACGTCAGTCTTTTGATCCATCACTTACACGGAAAGGGAAAGGGAGATCATTAAGAGAGCGTTTCTCATCACACCAAACAGACGGATCCGAATAATTCTCTGAAGATTCGGATCGTTACCAAACAACTTCAAGTTCATCATCCAACGCATCTGAGCCACCGGAAAAGAATGACAAGAACGAAGGCTCGAGTGACGAAAACAAGCACCAGTATAAAACGAAGTTACTGCAGGACAGGCCGAAAACATCAAATGAGATAATGCAACATGGCATCGAGAGAGGCGCCACGAAGGAAATTCAAGTCACGGGAAGTCCTGTAAACGCGCACGGTTTCTGGAAGAACAAGATTCTGCAGGTGTTATTGACGACACTGCGCAAAGGAGCATAGAAGATTCCGAGGTCAGAGTTAATCGCGACGTGAAATCCGATCAAAATGCCGCCTCAGAACATAATAAGCACCAGGCGACAATCGAAGATGCAGGTAAGACTACCATGGGCGGATGAAGTCAGCCTATCAGAAGACTTTCTTCAGGCCGAAGAGATTCTAAAAGGGCACATAGAAGAAACACCGGAGGAATCAGTCGAGCCGGTCTATGATCCATCTGACCCCAATGCCATCGCTACAGCCACGAGGTAAGAGGAACGCATCAACAAGAGATTGGAGGACGCAGAAGCTGACCATAGGGGGTTGGAAAATAGCGAGCGACTGTTCTTAGATGGGAGGCGGAGAAGGGAACCGAAATTAATCAGCTACTTTTGAACCTTGAATTGAATAGGAGTATGGCGACGTATTGCGAAGGTACCAACAGCATAGTTAGCTGATAATCTGTAAGGCTTCGATTCCATTGAGACATTGCGACTATTCGGATAAAATGTGACTGTTTATGGGGAACCATGATGACCACAATGGAACGAAGACGCATTGCAAAGCTGCCCAGAGGGGCAACATGTTTTTGAGAGCCCCCCGTTTTGCAAGAAGCCAAAGGACAGCTAATCAGCTTACTTATCATTCTGATCATGTGAGTCAATGAAGTAATCAGTTCGCCTATCCTAAGCATGGCGCCACTGCTCGATGATCCTATTGGTAAGATCTCCGATTGTAGCTGCAGAACTCCGCGTTACGAATAACACTGATCGCAAACTTCGCAAACTTAAGAGATCCGACTGTTTGGAGGATCTCAGAACAAGACGTTCGGCATTTCTTTCTTGTGTCAGGTAGCTAGTATGTCATGCAGCGTGGAAATCCTCTAATCCATCCACAGGGTTCGCTTTCATGTCGGTTATGATGATGGAAAGTGAGAATGTGAATTTTCAGAGAGCCAAGTACTCCTTAGTTTAAAATTGCAACAAGAGGCGCAATGCCTGTAATACTATCTACTTCTGAAAGTCGCGGTCAAGTTGCCGCCCTTATCTATGATCTGGTGAAAACATCAAATTGCCCCGCTCAAGCCATCACGAAGTCCACGCAGCTCTCATAAGTCTGCTTCGCGCTAGTTCCGAACCAGAACCACTGAACGACACACTGACCGGCCTGAGCGCATGTTCCAGCGGGCAGGTTGCTGGGCATGGTGATGTCGAAGTTGGTGTTGTTCGCGGGCAGTTGAGCAAGCTTCTCGTCGGCGTAGGAGTCGAAGACGATAAGCGGCTGGCCAATGACTTTGTTGGTCTTCGTGTCGACAATAGACACGTTCATCGGACCCTCATGGGGAATCGGCAGAGCCGCGCGCATGTTGACGACCTGGCCGGCCTTGAAGGTCTGCACCTGGGCCTTGTTGTCCTCGAAGGTGGCGCCACGGCAGAGATCCAGCTGGCCTGCATGAGATGTTAGCATGTGATGCCAGGCGCATTATGGGTGCTGCAGTTGCTTACATGTCGCCGGAGGGTTGGTGAGGTCCTCCAGGGGAATAGTAGGGTCCGCCAAAACAGTCTGCACATTCTCCTGTCCACAAGCCTTTGCCATCGCGGGACCGGGAGCACGGGCAGGAGGGGAGATGATGTTTCCGTGAGCGGAGACCATGGAGGCCAGGAGGGCCGTGGCAGCGGTGATCGAAGTGCGCATTTTGAAGGCGGTATATCGGACTGACGAAAGCGGATGTAGAAGATTTCGAAGAAAGAGTGGACAGCGAGACTGCAGGTATATGAAGGAGAGGACGAATGGAAATTAGACCAAGCGGGAAACGAGTGACCAGCACAATTGATTGTTTGATGAGACAGAAAGTGAATAAAGACCGGATGAAAGCAGACGGGGCCAGGTGGGCGGCCTTGCACTACAAATACCAGAATTTGGCCTCAGCCCGGCGTCTACGATGTCTGCCACACCCCGGTCCGACAGGATGGATGAGGATCAATGATTTGACAGTGATGGGCGGCGATCATAGCTTTCCCCTTGCGACCCTCTCCCCGACGGCGCGCGTCCGGATGCACGGGAACTAACGTCGTTGGCCCCGTTCTTTGCCTAGTGCAATCTGGGTTTTCCTCCAAACCTACCCGGGGATGATCCCTGGGCGAAACGAGAGTGCTTGAGGCTCTTCGAAGAGAGCTCAAGACAAGCTTGGTGGGATCCACGTGGGTGAAACGTCGCAAGTTCTTGTGCCGTCCTGCTTCCGGCGCATACAGTAAGGGTCATGGTCACATCTTGCGACAAACCCTGTCTGGGGGTGTTCGTGCAGCGAAGAAGCGAGAAAAGAGAGAAGCCCGATAGCGAAGAAAACCGGCACTTTCTGCTGAGTTCGATTGAACTGAGTAATTCGGATTTTTAATCAACGAAGACATGACGACGCACTCTCTGCTTCGATCGCAGCGCCAAGCCATCAGTTTGGACGCACCACCACCTTGATGAAGAGATCGGAAGGGAGGGCACCCAACCGGCGGCGCGGATCCCTTCGGAGACTTGGGCACGCTGGTTGGTCCAAGACCTCCCGAATTGGCATCTGGAGCCCGGTAGAGTGGATCGGGATTTACGGCGCGGAGTCCGGGGTGTTTTTCTTAGAGCATCCGCTACCTTTTGGCCCTGATCTACGGCAGGCACCGTGTTCTCAGCATTGGCGCCAAGTCGACTAGAACTTCCTGTGTAGGGGATCAGCGAGTCATAAGACAATCGCTAAACAGACACGGGGCTAAACATGCCACTCCGTGAAGACTGAAGAGAAAATCAATCATCCGCCAAAACTGAGTCCACCGCGAGGCCTACCTCCTGAGCGTCAGGTATGCGGGCGAGTAGAAGAATGGAAAAGCATCCGGACCTGATGACAAGACCAGCCTTCCCAGAAAACAACACGCCAACAAAGTTAGACGCGCGACAGGTCCAACGGCGCTAGATTGCGCCCCTGCACTAGGCATTGTCAGTTCGTTTTCGTAGCCCCTTTGAGATCAGGCCGAAGCCGAGCCCAGAAGCCTATTTTGTGGGCTCCTCCTCCTCGGAATCTTGTTTGGGGCACAGCGTCATGCTGCCGCGGGCGCTGCGGATTCGTGGGGGGCGCGGAGACCGACTCGGCGGAAATTAAATGAAGACCCTTTCCATGAACTCGGATCCGCGATCCGACTCAAAAGAAGGTTATTTCATTCCCTCGAGGATTGAATGCCGCCCTAACCGTGACGTTACTCAGGAACTCGGCATATTGCAGAGCCCCTTGATAAGCGGCAACTCAGATGTCCGGTGAAAAGCACCTTAAGCTTTAATTTCAATGACACGAACTACGACTCGGCGCTGCAGAATTCCTTAGAAGGTTGGTTCTCGGCGTTGACATGTTTTAGCTCTTACCATCTCCACAAGATTTTGTTTCCCTCGCGCGCTAAGTGGACATTGACCTCTTGAGATGGGCAGATGGAACCCACGGATGAGAAGCTCAAGGCCTCTTCAATTGGGATTAGAGATTAAAGTGTTGAACCTTCGGGCCTGTTCGGGGTTTACTTACTTCTTTCGCGCCGTTATACTTCAGTCTGCTATATGCCGTCTGATGCGCAAAGATGATTCACAGTTTAGCGCCGAAGGCTGTTGAGAACAGCTAAACTTGAACTGCGATGCTTGCGAGTCAAGAACAGCGTGCCTCACTTTCTCCCCGATAAGGTTCTACATACAAGACTCAAAATCTTACTTATTTCGACTTCAATCGGGAAGATGAGTAAACCGTCATCAAGACATTGCGACAATGAAATCATCTTGTAGACGCAAGCGAGTTACGACGTTCAATTTCATTTTCATTCAATCGGAGGCGGAAGAAAAGTCATGATCCCGTCGGTTTTCCGGAGTGAGCAGCTTGCCATCGAGACCGGGAACTCTGTAATTACTGGTTGAACAACTTGAACAACCCAGATTTGGTGCGACACTCCAAAGGTAACCTTTATAGATTGTAAAAGTAATAGAAGAATAAGCACAACATTGGAGAAAGAACTTTGTTCACGGACTGTGATACGTATCTCGTTTATCAGTGCTGTGACTCTTGTGTTTGAAGCTATTGCATCTTGTGAAATTATAAGTGATTTTCAGATGGCGCTACACCTTCAATATGCTGATGCCTAGGTCGGAAAAGAATCTGCAAACTATCCCGTTCTTACTTTCCCTGACGGAAATCAATGGTGTCACTGATCTTGGAATTCTGAGCGATTGACATGGGTGTGACGGCAATGGCTCTGAGCGGGTGAGAGTCGTTCTTCTCTCGGACTCTTGCCTCTTGCCGAAAGCCAGATTAAAGGGAACAATCACATATTGGAGAACTTAACAGCTACCAAGGCAGTTTGAGCCAGTCAGATCATCCTCCGTCCCGCCGAACGATACCGCCCAACCTGGAGCGACGCAATTGCGTCGCATACGAGCGCCCACAGCTTTCATCCATGAAGAACCGTATTCAGCATAAGTCATTTCACGCATGGCTTGGGCCAATATCCAGTCATTGACGACAAGCTTTCAGCGAGGTGAAGCTAAGTTATAGTATCCAACAGTCTGTCAACATCATTCTAGAGCCGCCTATGTTTGTTTTGATGAAAGGCGAAAGTGAACACCGGAGTATGATAAACAGAGAATTTTGCGTTTGAAACTAAGAAACCTTCAGCAATCATCCAGATGATTCATATACCCGAGAAAGTGATACAGTATTATGATGATGCCCGTCGTAACGGTAAAATTGCGACTTCATGCGGTAGACTAATCACAATTTCTCATGGATAGTGAAGACAACCGATGCATGTGGCCATATGCCTTCTCCATATCTTCAAAGAGCTTAACCAACTGAGGCCTATTGCCTTCACAATCATCCTGCTCAGAAGCTAGACGGTAGCGTATTGGATGAATGTAAGAATTTCTGAACAACATTTGACTACATACCAGCTGAAACCTCGAGAACATGAACGTTCATTGAGCAGACTGGGTGGACATGAAGTCTAATGAAGTAGGATTTGAATTCATGTTTTGATTTGAGTAAGAGTCAAAACCTGAACACCTTGCTGCTTCAATCAGCGTGGTGTATTACCGACGTCTTTAGTGTTCAAACTTCAGGAACGCAGAGTGCCGCACTGCCAGCCATACAGATCCATGTATACGGGAATGAGAGTATTTGAACAGCGTTTGAAAAGAAACGACGGCCAAAGTTGATTCTCAGATGAATTTCTTACTTTGTGGTCAATATCTATGCAATGGTTAAGTTGGTCTTGAACCTGAATTCATCCACCAGCGTACTGAACCAGCGTGCGTATTGTTGGTGACAAAACTCATAGTACTTATTGTGAATCGTCACAAAGGTGGTTTAAATACCGACGGATTTTAAATATACCGAATTTTGAAGCGAACCGTATCATTCATTGTTCAGCATACAAGAATAACTAAGCATATGACATCCTGAGGAGCGTTAAGCACGATAGTAGGAATACTCTCAAGGTTGCAACTTTGAGTTGCAGGCAGCCGTGGCCTGGAAAATGGCCGAAGCTTTTAATCACACAACCAGCTGAGAGCCAAGGTTGAGATTTCGAGACAGAACATCCTCCTACGTACGTAACTCAGGCTTGCGTGATGTTGTCATCATGAATGTCATCACAACGCTTTGGATATTCGGAGAATGTGTGAAAGTCCAATTCGTACACTCCTGGTGGCCGGTCACGTCTATGTTTCCATCGTTTTCAATATCTGCCAGCATTTCCAAAGCTGCAGGTCCCTGATTAATTCTGTTGGATAATAACATTTGGGCGAATCCAAGAAGCATAGATGTACAACAGCAAATCAAATGTTCTTATCTTTCTCTCAAATCACCTACTCTGTCTACAGAGAATAAAAGTAACACATAGGATCCAGAACTACAATGTGTATCTGCAACGCGATGCCGTGAATCTGTGACTGTTCTAAAGGAGTTATGAACTAGTTGCTCTTTTCGAGCGGGCATCTCATAGCTTTTGGTCTACGACAGGTCTTAAAAGGTCATTCGCATTAGAACGGCATTGCGAAAAGGTTCAGATTCGCTGGTTCTGGGTCCAGTAGTACTTTTCTTGAAACTGGAAATGACCGGAATCCTGAGTGCCTGTGTCAAGGCACGGTGAGGTAACGTACAAACAGGCAATCAAGTTAATAACTTTGCTGTTATTCATCCATTTACGACGTAAAATCACTCAATTAGACTGTTAAGTGCAATGCATCGGACCGAGGTGTCAGGCTCTCAACCTCAAGGACGTAAAGAAGGTCTGCAACTCAAGTTATCACGCACATAACGCTGTATTTATGAGTAACAGCACACGATTTATATGTATGAACTGGGCGGGGCATGAGAAATAGAAGGGGTATGAGAATTAGCCGTAGTATTGAAACGATGTACCCCATAAATATATCGTACATTACCCAATCTACAACCATTTCAGTTCGAACTGAGTTAGGCTTGAAGCATATGCAACAGGTTGTTGGCATGCTCTACGCGATTCCTAGAGTGAATCACAGGTCCACATGGCCGTTCTAGTACCTAACATAGGTAGGTAGTAAGCGGTTCATTTACATGAAGGAAGAACGGAAGCTTGAGTGTTTATGAGTACCGCTGATACTGAAAGATTGACCTGACTAAAGACATTTGTTTACCTCTGGTCACGGGAAAACTAGAAGATGCTAGGCTCTTAGCGTCTTTGCGAAATAGACCCTTTTTATGATCAACAATTTCACTATACAATGACCATGAATTGTTACTAGCATTCTGAAACTCTTCTTGAATCACAAACTATGTGATTCATATTTTATATACATAGGGTGTTTATTTCAAAGTCATAATGAACTGTGAACTGCTTTGATAAAGCTTCATGCAATTATCACAGATATAGGTGAGGGCTACTGTACTTTATAAATCTGGATTAAGTAGCTGTGTTTAGACGAATGACCGCTCATGAATATGAATTTCAGGCCAAGACTAATTAATTCTTTTGAACCAAGAGTGCGCCGCGGGAACGGGTAATTTTGGCTTAGAATGAGGAAGGCCCTCGCCACCTACAGTCTTGGGTAATTGAAGATGCGGTCTTAGAAATCGCGGCATGGGCTGTGTTGAAAGCACGTCCACAACGTTGACGACCATTGTGCGGTTATGTGTGGACAGTGGAACGACGAGAGGAGCAACTCGGAGCAAGATTCCCACAAGAGCTGGCGTGGGTGGTTTATGGGATCTTCAGCAAACATAATAATCCAACCGTCATGTTTGAGATTCGCGGATCTCATTTTATGTAGATGTTGAGAAAACATTAGCGTGAAAGAGACTAAAACTATCTTTGTTGTCATATAGAAAGTCGTCATTTAAAAAGCTTAGACGTCACGAGAGCCACAGAATTAACAACAGCAGACCTCTATCTCGAGAACCAATCCGGAAGCTTTACTGTTGTTGGGCCCTTGGCATTACAGAACTTGGAGCGGCTTCTATCAGTCAGGGGAAAGAAGACTGTGCGCCGTCTCGAACACACTGTTCAAGACTCCGTATTTACGATTTGATTCATTACATACGGTAATTTACTCAAGCATGTTTGCCCCTCTATCACACACCCCTCTATCACACACGTAATATTCTGCCTATACATGCATATCGAACGTACTGTTCCCAACACGTTGCTATCTTTGCGGACGTCGTTCATTTGTGAGGACATGAGCTGCGCCGGCATGTTGCGCACAGCTTCACAAACCAATGATTGATTTAGATTGAGCATCAACCAACGTTCGCGTCACTGATATAACAGAAGTAATATGGGCGTGTAAAGTGATATTTGAATTTACAGAACCTGCTTATGTCATATGTACTGAGAAAATGCTACGTACACGCTCCAATCTCGTCCAGAAAAATCGGGAGTCACATCTCAACGGATTGCTCTGGTGGAGCATGTGCATTACAGCGCTTAACATCCCTTGGTGGCCTGTGTCGTTGTTAGTGAGGCTCTGTGAGTGACGAGATGTTCGAACTTACGGCCTCCTTGTTCTTCTGGTTCTGCTCAATACCACCGGCGAACTCCTTCTTCATGGTCGCGATGGTATCCAGGTCTGCCTTAGTTCCCTTCAAGCCTTGAGCTTGGCTCTTCTCCTGAGCCTGGGCCTTGGCAACCTGAGATATGTATGTCAGCAATCGAGACGGTGAACAACATTACGGGAGTTTTGCTTACAGTTGCCAGACCATCCTTGGCACCGTTACCATCGGCGAGCTTCTGGTTGGCCTCACGGATCTTAATACCGTCATCGATGGTGGTGAGAAGAGTCTTCTTCGCCGCGTCGAACTTCTTCTGGTCAACGTTGTTGGAGTTGACAATCTTCTCGATGTCGGCAACATTGGACTGCTCCTGCTTCTGGATCTTGATGTTGTCGTCGATGCCAGCAGCCAACTTCTTGGCGTTCGCGCAGTTGTTCGCCTTGTTGTTGCCGCCCTTCTTGTCGGCGCGAACCTCGAGGCCGTCAGCCGCAGGCAGAGCAAGAGCTGACGCAACGGTCAAGCCCATGGCGAGGGTGATGAGAGTCTTGGTGAGCTGCATATTGAAAGTGGCGTAATACGGTTTGTAGTTAAAAAGATAGACGGTATAATGAGCGGACTAGTGAAGAAGTAGAAGCGTTGAATTAAGCGTTTGACCTGAAGCGCGTTGAAGTGATGATTTCAAGAGGAAGGATTAGTGTGAACTTTCCACAGTTCTTATATTCTTGAGTTTTGGCGAGTCAATCGGGGCGCGGCCAGCCTCATCGCCGTCGTCGTCTCAAACGTGACGGACATACACACTTTCGCCCCGAGGACCCCGATAGACCCTGCCGAGCACAGCACATGGAAAAGTCAGTGAATAGCAACCGCGATGCTTTCAGGGGTCGTTTCGCTTTGGCACGATGTATCTCTCTTGGTGTCCACATGCGGACGGACACCCCGCGCGCATCTTTTCCGTCCGATGTAACCGCACCACAAGACAAGCTTTTGGGAAGGCAGAGAAAGAAGGTTTACCCGCAAGTGTTTTGGGCTGAACTTCTCAGCCAGTCGCTCGCCATGATCGTCACGTAGACGTTTCACCCTCCCGCCCTGGACCAAGACAGCTAGTTTAATGCGTGCCTACCAAAACTGTTCCTAACGTGCGAGCTCTCAGAAAGTAATCGTCCCCGACAAGCTGGGCTGATGATCTTCGCCTCACAGAAGCTTATCACCACAAGCTCTAGCCATCTCGACAGTCAAAGTCCTTGGCAAGAACAGCTGCTCATAGCAGGGATCGCACGGTCGGCTGCTTCCATTTTCCAGCGGTCTCGACCAGGCCCGGTAGTCTAACTTCACTGGCCTCCCTCAGTCTGGTATCAGGAGGACCTCGTTTTGGCGATTTTGTCTGTTTTTGTGACACCCGCTCACACCTGAATTTGGTTGTCTTTCGCCAATTTTGACGACTGACTCGTTGAACCCGTATTCCTGACGGAGTCCTCCGCCTACACAGCAGGTTTCAATTTCATCCAGTGATCCGGTCTACCAATCGCTTCTGCAACCGGAACCGAGATCAGTTTGCTGTCTTAGTGATGCCAGAGAGATCAGTCAAGATGCCAAGACTGTGTGTTGAACGCGTTCACCTCAATGATGGAGTCGTCTGGACTTACTTTCCGGCCCTATGGCTCGGAGCTCCGACTGCGAAAGAGCTCTTTACAATTCATCGCAACAAATAAAGCTCTTGCCTCGAAAGCATGAGTTTTGCTAGCTTCGGAAGTCAACTGAAGGAAGGTTGCGGCACCATCTCATCGACTCTCTCTATCGACATCCCAATTAGCAATAAACAATACTCTGAATTCTTGCACACACGTGGTAGATTTCGTACTGGGTAGAGTTCATGCACGACCAGTAGACGTGCCGCAAAGTATGCATCGAAGAAGGCGGGATCATTCGCTAGTCTGGCCGCCAACCTCCATTCCAAACAGAGTTTGCCGAGTCTCGAGTTCACCGGCGGGGTGATCGGCTGACATGGGTCAACCCAGAATCCGGCGGAAAGCTAGCCAAAAGATGCCCATTCTGGTCAGCAGTGAGCAGCGAGAACGAGGCCGAAAGCAACCAAATAAGCCCACCCTCGATTGTTAAGTCCGCCTGCCTCAGCATCCCGCCGGGCCTCCATCTTCTCCATCTTCCGCGCTGCCGCTCGCCCCGCGGCATGTGGAGGGTAGTCTATTAAACTTCCCCCTCAAACGTGATTCGGCCGGCCACGGACTTCTCCTGCAGTAGCGTGGTCTGAAGGCCCTCGCAAATAGTGTTATATCCATCTCCATCAAATTGTTTTAGCCATGTTGGAGATTCATCAAGAAGCTTAAGCCTTCGGGACGCTCATTCCACAGCATATCTGACGAAAGGTTGACCTGGTGAACTACTGCAGGCCACCTGCATTAGTAATTGTCTTGGCGGCCTGGTCTCATCATCTGAACGTAGTGTGAATTCGGGTAAATCTACCTTCCGGATGCTCACCATCCCATCATGCAGTCGCCAAGAGGTCCTATCGCCAACGTCGCCGGTGTAACGTCCAAGAAGCTGTTCGCCGATCAGCACTTGGCTTTCTTGGTACTCCGCATAAGGCGTCAATCCCAGTGCCCATCATCATGCGTTACTCACCTGAAGATGATATGCGACCGGTTATTATTTCTGTCTTTTGTTTCTTCGCAGCGTCGGAACCGGTCTGATCTGTTGTATGAGTCCGTGTAACCGCGCGGGCAGTGTCGAGGACACGCGTGAGACCAGATTATGCCCCATCAGCTGAGGTCGCGCCTCGAATTCAGACACACGATACCGTGAATGGAGGCTAAGCGAGTTCTTCCAGAAGACACCGATCTCATGGAGGCACGTTCACTGCTCAGCCACTTTGTGCGTCTCTGCTCTTTGGCACGACTTGATTTCGGGTCCGATAAATGCCTAACTGAATCGAGTCAAATTTGGGGATCAAACTGAACTCTCTTATTTGTCAAACCCCGCAGCACTCAGTCGGGGTGACGCGCGGTCGGGTGTGCGGCAGGCCATGATCCCACTACCTTGGATCTCCCTGCTGGACGTCGACCGCAGCAGCCTTACCAGCTTTGACGCGCTTGGTAAGCTTTGGTGTCATGATTTTACCGACAACGAGTTCCTGTCCTTCATGATGCCAGAAAATTCATCGTGCCCAGAGGCAGATACGATAGCATCGGAATCCGGCAGTGGCGGCACGCACCAGCACAGGTCCACTGTACAGAGTTACTCCTCAATATATCAGAGACCTGTCACTGAATCGTCTCCGTCAAAGCTCTTTCCCAGGGCCAGCCTATTCTACAAAGTAATCACTAGGGTGTTCTTCGGAATTCGAGCCAGCGGTTCGAGAGGTTGTCCTGGACAGGTGCCGCCAGATTTGGCGCGTCGTACGGCGAGCGGCGTTCTCAATCGCCGCCTCCGAGATGCAGCGGACTTTTATCAGATGAAGCAAACAACCGTAAATAGAAACATCATTTCCTAGCCACTTTCAAGCACAACCAACAACGCGCTTACGACAGTATCTATCGACGAGTCATATTGTGCCTGGAAACATTGGATGGAGGCCGCCAAGCCTTGAGAAACAGCCTCGTTTTTGTGGATTTGCACATGTGGAAGCACTCCATCAGAGATGTTTCCTCTAGTCGTCTGATGTGTTGAAACTTGTATTCGCGTACAACGTGTCGTAACACTCAGCCACGTGAATCAGAGAAACGGTCGTTGTCGGCGATGTGCGACAGCGATGCTACTTTCAATGTTTACATGATTTGCAAACAAGTCGCAACACCAAAACACGATAGCTACTGGTGCATTTGCAATTGTTTCGCCAAGTCCTGGAGAGAAAGTCATGAGACAGGTCTTTCTTTCGTAGGCTTTTTTCATGCATTCAAGTTAAGATAGAACCTCATCCGGATTATCTGGCGGCAATTGCATCTTGACCTAAGGGGACGAAACACCACAGCCGTGCACGTGCAAGTTTCTGTGGCGTTACAAACCTCTCCCCGATTTGTTCAATTCGGGTATCTGTACGGTGCCGGTGTGAGTATCTTCGAAATCAAAAGATCGTTTGTTTAGATAATACGCTCAACTTGAACTGTTTAACTACCTAGAGGGAATTCCACTTAACAAGAGATTCTTAGGAGCAGTCCTTCCTATAGTTAACTATAAAGGTTTATTTCTCTTTACTATTCAGTTATACACTTTTATATATACTAGTAAACTATTAATATTCTTAGTAATAGCTTAGTTATACTAAAAAGAAAAATATTTTAGTTAGTATAGGATAAATGTAGTATAATGGTTTAAATTTCTTAGCTATATTCCCTACTATCTTTTGAAAGATTATATATATGAAGTTATCAATAAGAATAAGTGACTTTACTAGAACAGAACTCAAAAATCAGTAGCTAAATGTTACGACCCGTTATGCATGGATAACAGTTAACCGACCCACTTGGGCGTCGGGCGGCTAGGACAGGACATTTGTACTGCAGGATCACGGGAACAACAGGGACTCACTCGGAACGGAAGAACTATAGTACAGGTCACGT